CTCCAATTCTTGGTCTCCTTTTTTACCAACGAATAGTGGGATTGACCGTCACATTATAACGCCCCCAGGCTGAAAGGGCGAGTATGTTTGGTGTGACGGGGATTCGAGCCCGCGACCCTCAGATTGCGAGTCGAGCGCCCTAACCACATGGCCATACCGGGCCTAAGTGGGGGAGCTACACAGTTTGTGCAAACAATTCAGTTTAAATCTAAAGTACTTTCATTGGTTATCTTGTATTAAGCTTAAAACAACACGAATTACTCTATTCTTGCTTTTGTCACTATCTGTAAATATAGCAATATAAAATTTAGTTGTTATACACGGGACTGGCATGGCAAGACGGTTAGGACTCTTGACTCGCAGGTTCAAATCCCTGTCTCACAAACATGATCATCCCTTTCAGCCGCGGCGGTGTTATAATTTGATGGTCAATCACGGTGCTGACCAGTTGTCTTATCTCTAGTCTTTCACTATTAAATTAGGAACGGCTAACGCACATAGCCCTCGTGTAGCTTTGCGCGAAATTCAAAACAAACAAATATTGTTACACATGGTTACTACAGAGCCAGGCATGGTCTAGTGTCAGCATGTGAATCTGTGGCTACATGGTTCGCGTTCTTTTGCAGCAAAATTACACTCTGCATGGTCATATTCAGTTAAATACGATTACTTCAAGACTTTGGTTGTTGGTGCTGTTGAACGTTCCCCCCATTATCAGTTCAAAATTAGGGATGGTTAGCGCAGATAACTGTTGTGTGAATAAATAAATAAATTTACAGTCCTAAATTAATGTTGATTTTGGCCTCTTTCAAAATTCACTTAAAATGCAAATTAATGTTTTCTAATTGAAAAAGCTATGAACGTACCGTATAATTTAGCATAAATGTTATTTTTCTCCGTACCATTCGTACGTTATTTGAACAAATATCACATAATTCAACTAATACAGCACTCTGCTTTGTGTATTAGTGAATCATACCGATGTTTACATTAGTAGTCTTATTTTTAATAGTTCATAAATTTTGTTCTTTATTAACCTTTTTGAAAATAAAAATCATTTTTTATTAAATAATTTTAATTAGATTAAGTAAACACATGTACACATACACTTGTATATAAGTTATTATATTGGTTAATAACTGGATAACAAAAACAGCACTGGGCACTATTGACTAACAATCTTTCTTCTAGACTACCAGTTCAAAATTAGGAGCTACAGGAAAAGAAGCGATTAATACATGTATTTCTTACGTTTATGAAAATATTTTGAGGCAGGCGTGTGTTCTGAAAAAACACACAAAAAACACGTATTTTTATGTTTTATTTATTATTTTATGTAATTTTCATAGTCTT